ATAAGTATGAAAGGTTGCTCTTTACTTACTTAACAACAATATCGAGAAAAACAAATTAGGCTTTCTCCTTAACAAAGACATAAAATTCAATCATAGGTACCGGTACCACAATCTTTTTAAAGAGATATTTAAAAATTATTTACTGTTGAAATCTATTTGCTATGCATTTCAATTGGTTGAGTACCCCATGGGAGTTGTATTGATAAATAAGCTAGTCATTTATTCTTATAAACAACAATTTTAAATTTTGCAGACATTGCAATCTACAATTTGTACAACATCTATCTATATATTAATAGGCAAGCATGTTTCTTTAAAACCTTTTTTCTCAGCTCGTGTGCATCGCAGGGGAAATCTACGCATACTGTTAGAAAGATATTTGCCTGTAGATGTGCAGAATCCCTTTATAAATTAAAATAGGCTAAAAAATAAGCACAAAAAACGAATTTGAAAACTTCAAAAAATTAACATGGACCAACTGGGTTGCCATGATGGTGACGAAATAACAACAAAATGTAAACAGAAAATCAAAACAAATGGAAGAAATCCCAATCACATGTTTTATTTACAGTGTGGGGAGAAAATAGAGAAGTCTGTACATTAATTATTTTTGGTCGAGTTTCGACCACAGGACGACCACTAGTTTGTTTTAAAGTTCAGCGTGTAAACGCTAATAGGCCTTAAATACAGGGTGACACAAAGGAACCGGACTTTTTTTAAATAAGTAGTACACAGTAGTTAAAAGGAATAAAATAGTTTTAATGTGGTAAATAGTGAGGTAAACATTTGCCATTTGTTACAAAACTGTCATTTTTTTTATGACATCATGGATCCCATGCCGCATCTGGCCATGTATTTCTCTACAAATGTTCTTTCTGGTCTGAAAATCATTTGAAGCTCGGGTCAGGAGGTCTTGTTCAATGCCATTGATATCTTCTGTGATTTTAAACTTCAAATCCTCTAGTGTGCGTGGTTTGTGAGCATAAACACGCTCCTTAAGAAACCCCCAAAGGAAGTAATCACAGCTGGACAAGTCAGGTGTCCTTGGTGGCCACGGTATGTAACCAAAGCGAGAAATCAGCTTGTTAGGAAACATTTGCCTCAAGACTCTCATTGATTGGTCTGCAGTTTGGGCTGTAGCACTGTCCTGTTGAAAATAAATCCTTCTTCCTGCACTAACTGTATTTTATAATGATGAAACTTAAGATCTTTCCGAAGAATTTCCCTTACCGATTCACAGTTCATGTTCAACTAACTCTTGAGCATGTTTTCGCACAGACCTGTATGGACTCCTTATCAATGCTGCTCTCACTCTGGCGAAGTTTTCGGGTGTTCTCGAAGTTCTAACAAGGCCTGGTGGTTTCTTTCTTGTTATATTCCCAGTTGTTCGGAACCCTCTAACCCATCTTAAAGCGTATTTTCGCTTGGAACAGTTCCATGGCGTTCAATATTAAAATGTTGACGGAATTCCCGCTGGATTTTAACGACGGATTCACCATTTTAAACAAAAGTATTGTATGCGAAAACGCGAAGGTCTACGGTTCACTAAGCCATTTCAACAAAAATGGCAAGCCTCACTGAAGGTAATGACATAACGTCCATCTTCCTACCACGTGCGAAAACAATGGAACAGCTGTTTAAAAAACGTCCGGTTCCTTTGTGTCACCCTGTATGAGTAAATAACCAGAGGAATTGGTATAACTATGGGCAGTTACCACTGCATTAATGTTTTGCATTGTTGTTTTCCATTGAGACGTAGCCTCTTGTATATTGGGATGATCACGATTGCGATTGTGGATTTTTTCGGCAGTTCTGTCCAATCATTTCACAAGAGAGCAAATATAACATATAAATAACTTTTTATTATTTAAATACCTTATTATTACTCGTAATTCGTAGATTTTACTTCCACCACCCACTTTCAGTGTTTTATGATCCAGTGTGTAATTAAATTTAAACACCACTGAAGTGAAAAAATGCAGCGACAGAAATACAATTAAGAGTTCCAATTCGAAATATTTTTTCAGGCTCAAACCAACGAATCAAGAGTATTAATCAAATATTTTCTGCAAAATTGCGTGATCTTTAACGACAGATACATTGTTGGTGACACGATCAACAAGAGAAGCCTGCCAGGGACTCAGGCCAATCCAATAATATACACTAATGTTCTGAATGAATTGGAAACCTTAGGTTTGTCTGGAAAATTATCATTGGTATATTATTCATACCATAGTTAGTAAGCTCTGGTCGAAAATTCATAGAATAATCCTACAAAATATTAGATATTTTAAATGCTCATGAGAAATATCAGTTTCGGGGGAACTATACGGTGTGCATGCTCTTTTATTTTTATTCAACTAGTTGAGCCTATTAGCCATCATATAGTAAATGTTTCACGTATTGAAATAAATCCACAAAATTTACCTACGGAAAAGAATAAGTCAAGATTGATAACACGTTGATTAATTAAGACGTTAATACGCAGACCCTCTGAAGGAGTCTATTGCGGAATATATACAGTAGTACTGTAGTATACTAATTGATTCAGAAACCATTGACCAAAACCCTAGTCATGGATGAATCAAATCTTTTCTTCGAACGTTCCTCATGAATAAAACACGGATTTCGGACCAACTCAAGTCAGAACAATAACGTAATTACTGTTGTAGTAATGACACCTGAATAATTCATTTGTTTCTCTAGGTACAATACTAGTTTTTTTACTGTATTAGCCTGTAGGTTTGAATAACCTGTTCACAATTTCTTCAAGACCAGATTTCAAATTCAGTCTCAATCAAACAATCACAACCCATCCATTGGCCACCCTAATAGCAGCTCTACAATAGAAGCCAGAAATAGTATAACCAGCGGTCGTTCTATTGAATGTTCTCAGAAGGGTCGCTCTAAAAAAGCGACAATACCTCGTAAAACAGAAAAGAGGCGGCCTTAGGCTTATAGTGGCCGTGGCCTCGGCACGCTAGGAATGTTGAGGCTTCTACCCTCCTGTAGTACAATAGTCCGTGTTTCGGGTTATGGCTCACTCTGGAATGCTAAACTAAATAGGGTCAATCAAGGAGTTTTTTGCTCCCTAAAATTATATATTTGATCTACAATTCATATTTCAATCGATGTAAAATTATTGCTGAGATCATGTAGGTTGTGGTTTATTAATCTAGAGATTAAAATTGGCTTGGTCTCTTAGAGATATTGTGGCTTCTTTATTTGAATATTTGTTGTGTGTTGAATATTTTGTTAAAGGAGGTAGTTATCCAATACAGAGTAAGTTATCGTGACCTGAAGGGCCTGAACTTTTTTGTTTTCTACACCGGCAAAACTACAGGGTGTTCTACTAATTATGTACCGGTTGACTGTATTATTACAAAGCCAAAATTTACTGGTGGTCGGCAGGATTTTAACCCGTATCTTTACGATAGAAGTTTCGCGCTTACCAATGTACATACCTCAAGTCAATGTTAAAATCTTGAACAAGGTCTCTAAACAAATTACAATCCCCAAACACATTCCAAAAACACTACGTATAACATTAGAGACCTACCAGTCTTATTTCACAGTAAAAGTCAGGGAACAACCACGAAGGCCAATCGACAATAGTCTCTTATTGTTGAAACGACAGTTGAATTAAACAGAGGAAATAGAGTTCTAAACAGCTGATATGTGACAATCCGTACTAACAGCTGATATGTGACAATCCAGCCCAACATTGGCACAGAAAACATAACGGTACTATGTTTTCTGTGACATTGGCGAAATCAAATCATTCTAAAATTTGTTTACTCAAGGTGGAAATTTAACAATTGCATGACCAGAAGTGTTTTTTATCTTATTTATGAGCTACCGGTACCATCATTGTTGGATGACTTATCCTCACCCAGATTCGTAGGCAAAAACACATAATATAAGGATTATTTAATGTTCTTATTTAAATTTCTTATTTATAACTCTAGTTTATAGAATTTATTTTATTTGTTTATTTTATTGAACGCTGTCACACTGGATGCTGTGGCAACGCAATTCCGAGTTTTAATTTCATTTTGTAGCCTATGTGCTATGTATTTATGGTGGAGTAAAATCATTATTTCATTTAGCATTGATTCACGGAATAAATAGTAAATTATATTAAAACCACTGTATGTAATTAAAAAAACTTCATTCTCAATCGTTTATAGTTAACTAATATTTCATTTATAAGCTACGCATCTTGGTTTGATGTTATTTAAATAAATGAATATATGTATTAGTTCATTAATCAATTAATAAATGCATTTATGAATTTATCGGCAATTCGAGTTATCACTCTATCAATAAATTAATAAAATATGTTATAATAACTGTTCAACAAAAAAGCTATTTTACGTTTTGTAGCAGCAGAAAGCTACAGTTAGACAAATTCAATCCCAAAATATGAACACTTAAATTTTTAATGAGTATTATAGCCTAACTAAAAAGTTTGATTAACTAATAGCTTGATAACTAATTTTACGTTCCAAATCCTGCAAAACCTTTTTAATTTTCAATTTTTCCACGGTTTTATGAAGATTTTTCTATACGAGCATTATACAATATTGTTGGACAGTTTGTTCAGATATACATCATTGCTACGGGACAAATTCGACTGATTATCACCACAAACAACTTAAAACACAAGTGTAGTTCTGATACAACAAGACTTGAGCGGACCGAGCTCTGTTTGAAGACGCGCCAACGACGGCTCCAACTGTTAAACCGGTTCCGATGCTAATTCCACCTAACGGACCCACCTTATCTTAACTTTTGGTTTCACAATAGACATCCGATGAGACATTTTTTTATATATTCACCGTAAATATGTCAGAAAAATAAACAAATTTTGTGATTCTGTGAAAATTTAAGAAAAAAGTATAATTTCAACATGCAACTTATTAGGGCCTACATTATATTTTTTAAATGATCTACTACTGCAAGTGTGATACTGAAAATATAAAACATTGTGAAAATACCTTTCGTTTGTGGGTTGTCAATCCTAAAGTTATCCCCGAATCCTTGTATCTGGGCGCAACGAACTGACTGACATTGACGTGGCTGCAATGGTTTAACACTCAGCTGTTTTGCCACTGGTTGTCGCACATTATACACTCACGGTGCGGTCACAGGTCACAGGTCACAAACACAGGTCAAGTCACGTAGGTCACAAATATCCCAACTGTCATTCCAACATAGGTACGTCGCCGTTCAACCGCCGCTCCTCTAGTGGATCACAGTTGCGGAGTTTTGACGCTTGGCCGCGCTGCGAGCGGTTCTCCCGCGTCAAACACGGCTGCCAACCGGTGTTTCCCGCCCGCCAAAATGTCAACCGGTTGTCTGGGTAATTCGGTTGTTTGATCGCGATAGTTGTAAGACTGCGATTATCGTTTACTCAACACCATGTTGGTCTATTGCTGAATGTGAATGCAATATGATAGAATGGAGATGATCTGTTTGGCTTTGATACTAAAATGAGATTTGCCTTCTTCTTGAAAGGACCATGTATTACAAGCCTAATGACCAAGAACTGCTATGACCAGATTCGGGGTATAAAACTGACTCTTTCATTTGCGAACCGTGAACCGTCTCAATGTTTGGCAATCGCCATAACCATGTGATAACAACTACGAAAATGTTGAAGACTTGCGTTTTGGTGTATTACAAGGGTTGATTATAAGACCTCATTTGTCGAGTATACAGGGTGATTGATATAAGTGTGCCAGCCGTTTTATTCGAAAACTACAAGAGATTTAAAAAAAAGTTAAATGGTAAGTGCCTTGGATTTTTTATTAAAAAAGTTATAGTCAAGTCAAAAAAATTATTTTAGCCGCCATTTTTCCAATATGGCCGCCAACTTTGAATATGGCCGCCAACACCCTGTATTTTATGATGTATTCTGGTAGAAAAAGTAATTTTAAGACGATTTTAATCTTGTGATTTTTTTCATAAACCTAACCGTTTCAAAGATAATAATGGTTTAAGTTGTGAAATTTTGAATGGTTTTCGAGCAAAACAGCTGGCATGCTTGCATAGGCCTTTATCGAAACTCTTTCTCATGCAGAAATTTCAAAACTTTAACCATTATTATCTTTAAAACGGTTAGGTTTATGAAAAAAATCACAAAAATAAAATCGTCTTAAAATTACTTTTTCTACCAGAATACATCATAAAATACAGGGTGTTCCGTAAGAAAAAACAAAGTTGGCGGCCATATTGGAAAAATGGCGGCTAAAATAATTTTTTTGACTTGACTACAATTTTTTTAATAAAAAATCCAAGGCACTTACCATTTAACTTTTTTTGATATCTCTTATAGTTTTCGAATAAAACGGCTGGCACACTTATATCAATCACCCTGTATATTAAGAAATACGGGATACTGTTAACAAGTATTTTTATTTGCATACGGTTTTTTTGTGGGAATATCAAACTTCTTATATTTACTTACCAATTATTGGTAACAGATTTATTATTTTATATTTACAGAAGTGCTTTTTAATAACCATATTAAATTATTTGATTTACTTCAAAATGTAAATGATTAACACTAAGAATGTAAATTAAAAAGTTTGGATTTGTATTAGATATTTTACGTTTACAAATACAGTAGTAATACAAATTACATGGATTATACGGTTATAAAGATTGTACCGAATTATATAGATTTTATGGAGATTTATTGGAATTCACCTAGTTAATTAGAATTCAGATACGTTGTATAAGTATTAATGAAACTTTTTAAAAGTATAATCCCGAGGATGTATTCTTTTATGAATTAAAATAAAATATTAAATTGTTTATTTATGAAAACTTAAACGTAAGAAAGGGCCGCATGCTTTGCCAGTGTAAATAAAATGATTTAATTTAATTTAATTTATTGTTTTTCCATCTCATTTTACATACTTCACATTTTTCATTCATTTTAAAACCAACAAGACTTTAATCGAATTCGTAAATGCTAATACAAAATAATAGTTTTATTAACCTCCTTGTTATCTCTACGGTAAGAACTTCAACTAATATTGCACTCGCATATTCAGGATATAATTTACTGTTTCCTTTACCCGGCTGCAATACTGTTTTCTTACTCTCTCTTCTCTACTACGTTGGTGTATGAAATTGCTAGATTATTTATAGGCCTATTTGGAATAAGGGTAGTTGAAATCAATTACTATTATAATGTTTATTTCGTATCAAGACCGATACTATTTCAAAATGTTATTTAAAAATGTAGAAACTGTTTTTATGAACCGAATAGTGATTTCCTTATTTTCTTTAACGTGTTACGGTTGTTTATGGTGATATAACAAATTCTAAAATTCAGCGTAAATATTGCTCTCAGTTAGGAATGACTAAACTGTTGGCATAAAATAAAAACACAATATCTATACATTGAAACACTTTGTTTTTCGCTGGTTTGAAATATTATAACAATATGCATTTAAAATATTTCAAAATCTACTGCTCTTTTTATTTTATTTTTAGTCAGTAATTTCATTAACAAAACACACGACACACGACATTTGTTAAGTGATGTTATACAGCATTAACTTAGGCTCATAATTAAATTGTAACTTCTTGCTGAAAAAATTAAACATGCTTTGTCGAGCTTCCTTTGATTGAATTGGTAATTCAATTTGTATAATGGATTATGTATTATCAGTTCTTCGTGTTGCTTTGAACTCAAAAGTTTCGAGCAACACATTTATGGTTTGAAAGAGGCGCTCCTCACGTGCGCCTTATTTTGTTGTAATGCAATATGAGTAAATAATTCGTAGGCTTTCGCGGCAGGTTCGGGGGTGTATTACCATTGACTATATATACCTATATTATTACACATCGATGGTCGGAACAGAATCCTTAGATTTTTCAGCGTCAGCCGTATGGCACCCTTGTTGTGAAGATGCACCCTACTGGATATATATACTAGTGTATTTAACCTGACGTCATAGTTAACTATAAAAGGATTACCTTTAGATACAGAATGTTTGTTTAACTTAGTGTTAACATAAGAACCAGATTTTATCACAGTTTCACTATAATTACTTCCTTAAGTGGATTTACACCTGTATACTGTAATCATTACAGTGATTATGATTTAGTGTTTATTTGATTAAAACTATTAAAATCCATTATGATAAATTAAATAACTATTCTTATGAACTTATGAAGTTTATGAATATTGCCCTTTTAATTATGGCTTGAAAATGTCATTAAATAATACCTCAAGTAGTGGCTCCGCATACTCTCCCATCAAACATGATAAATCCCATAGCGTTATGTAGACTGCTTTTGATTTCATTTATTTTTTTCCATAAATTACAAAATACAGGTACTTTATTTTTTATTAATGTTAAATAAAAATTAACCATGCAAATTCCCAAGAGTTTTTCCAAATAGGTTAATATTATATTTTCTATGTTTTATTTCAATTGCGTAATTAAATTTTTCAATATTAGCCTGGCCCAACCAATTTTGGATCTTATTTGTATGGTAAAATAATGTCCATAAAATAATTGTATTGCTCCGTTCATTCGTCCTGACTTTTAAGAAAATACCTTAGACACGTGTAACCTCGAAATATTTTTAACTGCAATATCTGTATAGATGAAACTTGGCGTGAAAGATCCATTTTGGCTCTAAATTACCACTGAGAAATAGATTTGTGAAATCGCGATGGATTCAAAATAGATGCATTAAAACAAAACACTAAATTATACAACATTAAACCATATAAACTTCATAAGATTTAATTTTCATAAATGCCTATTTTGCAATAATTTGAACATACAAATCTGTGAACCCATTTCGTTTGAAGCTGTTAAAATATTCTTAATATTATATTAACATTTTGTAGAGAGGAATAGTCATAGCTATATAGAAGCCCACTAATAGAATGACCATAAATAGAATGAACCAACTAATAGAATGACCATAGATAGAATGAACCCATTAATAGAATTACCATAAATAGAATGAACCCACTAGTAGAATGGCCATAGATAGAATGAACCCACTAATAGAATTACCATGAATAGAATGAACCCACTAATAGAATGGCCATAAATAGAATGAACCCACTAATAGAATGACCATAAATAGAATAAATCCACTAATGGGAATGACCATAAATAGAATGAACCCATTAATAGAATTACCATAAATAGGATGAACCCACTAATAGAATGACCATAAATAGAATGAACCCATTAATAGAATTACCATAAATAGAATGAACCCACTAATAGAATGACCATAAATAGAATGAACCCACTAATGGGAATGCCCATAAATAGAATGAACCCATTAATAGAATTACCATAAATAGAATGAACCCACTAGTAGAATGACCATAAATAGAATGAACCCACCAACAGAATGACCATAAATAGAACGAACCCACTAATATAATGACCATAGATAGAATGAACCCACTAATAGAATGGCCATAAATAGAATGAACCCACTAATAGATTGACCATAGATAGAATGAACCCACTAATAGAATGGCCATAAATAGAATGAACCCACCAACAGAATGACCATAAATAGAACGAACCCACTAATATAATGACCATAGATAGAATGAACCCACTAATAGAATGGCCATAAATAGAATGAACCCACTAATAGATTGACCATAGATAGAATGAACCCACTAATAGAATGGCCATAAATAGAATGAACCCACTAATAAAATGACCATAAATAGAATGAACCAACTAATAGAATGACCATAGATAGAATGAACCCACTAATAAAATGACCATAAATAGAATGAACCCACCAGTAGAATGACCATAGATAGAATGAACCCACTAATAGAATGACCATAAATAGAATGAACCCACCAGTAGAATGACCATAGATAGAATGAACCAACTAATAGAATGACCATAGATAGAATGAACCCACTAATATAATGACCATAGATAGAATGAACCCACTAATAGAATGGCCATAAATAGAATGAACCCACTAATAGATTGACCATAGATAGAATGAACCCACTAATAGAATGACCATAAATAGAATGAACCCACTAATAGATTGACTATAGATAGAATGAACCCACTAATATAATGACCATATATAGAATGAAACCACTAATAGAATAACCATAGATAGAATTAACCCACTAATAGAATGACTCCACTAATAGAATGAACGAAATAATATAATTAATTATATCTTAATGTACACTGCCCGCATAACCAGCCGACAACTAGTAAAGTTATAAAAAG